GCTTTACAATATCAGTTATAATGGCAGTAAGTAGCATAGTGGTGCAGTGGTTCGCGCTATTACTTCAAAGCAAGAAAGTTTGGGTTCGTCTGGCTGGGTGGAGTTTGTACGCTTCCCGAGCCACTCTGTTCAATGTGCTAAACATCAGCTGTTTTCCTGCTGTTTTTTTTTTTTTTAGATCATATTCACTGATAAATTATAAAGCCATAACAATAACAATAACAATAACAATACTAATCCTTTGTAGTTTTGCGAACTATTCGCTGCCCTTGGTGCTGATTGGTTTTTTTCCCTTTCTTTTTTTTTCTTTCTTTGAGCATGTGTTGGGACCCTTTACTGTCTCTCTTGGTAGTTGTTCATATGTCACTTTTTGCGATTAAAGTTCTGTGGGAGAGCCTGTGATCGCTATCCATGGTGCCAAAAACTATCAGGCTATCAGGTGAAGGAATGTTAAAGAAACACAATGATTGATTAATGCCATTATCTGTTGGAGCAAGTTATCAGCAAGTTTTTATGGGGTAAACCGAGAGAAAGAGGGAAGAGACTAGAACAATGTTGAAATACTAAATTTCTATTAGTTGTTCAAGATCCAGTCAACTTTAATTCAGTTCTTAGCTTGTAGCTTGTTCTCAGTTAGCAGTGTTACTCATCTAGTCACACTCAGGTTATACATTTGCTGCATGTGTTACCGTTTCCGTGAAATCACACTGCAGCAAAACAGTCATCTTTATGACGTAGTATATGGTGGTTTTGAAAATGAAGTGCTTTAAAACATGATTAAATTTTCATTTTTTACTGTAGTTACCTTTGAGACGGTTTTAATTAACGATACTATTACCAATATTATAGCTAAGCTGCAATAACCAGAATAGTTTCTTGTGAATAGGAGAACAGTTTTTGATATTAATATGTTACATTTTCCGGTTACGTTTGTCAACCTCCGCTTTCTGTTGGTGTTACAATTACAGGTATCTTTGGTAACGAGAGCAGCTATGTCAAGAGCAGCTGTCGCTGTCCGTAGTGCTGAAATATACTGTGGCGCGTTGCCGGTTCCATTCAAAGTAGGGTGTCAGATTAATATACTGTTATGTAAAAGCAGAGAAATTAAATCTTTCTTCAGTACTATTAAAAAATGAATACAAAATTCAACTGGTGAAATTCAGGGGAAAGAAATACTTCAAGTATCCTTAAGTAAGTGGATATAACTCTTTTATCGCTATGGTCCTTAGTGACAAATTTTGCACATAAAATACATACCTGTAATGGTCCTTACTTAAAATCATCAGAAATAAACATACAGAGTTGTCCTCTTGGTGTCACTATAACATAAATGACCATAAAAACACAGTCCCTCCCCTAACAAAGCTTTTTGTCTGGTGGTTCACAGCAACGAATGCATAATATCTAAAAACGGGAGTCGGATGAGAAGTGATCGTAATCGCAAATATAATTATTATAGAAACAGATTTAGGTGTCATCGTGTGCAACTGGACAACAATGAGGAATGGAAAACCGTATCGATGCTGTGAGTGCTTCTGGGTTGCTTTTTATTTGACACTGCTGCTGGTTTTCGGAGAGCAGGCTTTGGCTGATTTGAGATACTCTGTTCCGGAGGAGGTCAAAGAAGGAACTACTGTTGGAAATGTGGCCAAGGATCTTGGTATTGACAAAACCTCTTTGACTGATCGTCGGTTCCGTGTTGTTTCTGGATTTAAGGACGCGTTTTTCGAGGTAAACCCGGACAATGGGGCTTTACAGGTTCGTAAGAAAATCGACAGAGAAAAGCTTTGTCAAGGTAGCGGTTCATGCCTTATTGAGCTAAAGATCCTTGTTGAAAATCCCCTGGAAATGCATCATATTGCTGTAGAAATTGCTGATGTAAATGATCATTCCCCCAGCTTTTCTGAAAAGGAGCAGATCTTTGAAATGGCCGAGCATACACCTCCGGGAACACGATTCCAGCTTCACGCGGCTCGTGATCCTGATGCTGGAATAAACTCTATCCGCATATACACACTAACGTCAAACGAGCATTTCGATATTGAGATTAGTCAAAGTGATGAGGACAAAATACCATTTCTAGTGCTGAAGACATCTTTAGACAGAGAACAAAAGAATAAACACTTGCTAACTGTAACAGCAGTTGATGGAGGTAAACCTCCAAAATCAGGCACGCTTAATGTATCCGTTATTGTTCTTGACAGTAATGATAATCGCCCGACATTCAGTCGGGAGACTTACCAAATTGAAATAAAAGAAAATGTCTCTGTTGGTGCTGTTGTTGCAACTGTAGCTGCTATAGACCCAGATGAAGGCACTAACGGGGAAATAGAGTACAGCCTGAGCAAAACATTAGCGCGTAAAGTTTATCAGATATTTGAACTGGATAGTGTAAGTGGACAAATTACGCTAAAAGTAGCATTAGATTTTGAGGATTCTGAGATTTATAAACTAGACGTTGAAGCATCTGATAAAGGACAACCTCCATTAATCGGAAGGTGTAGAGTAATAATAAAGATACAAGACATTAATGATAATGCACCAGAAATAGAAGTCACGTCACTATCAAATACAGTAACCGAAGATTCAAAGCCTGGTACAGTTATTTCACTTATCAGTGTAACGGATAAAGACTCTGGACTTAATGGAAAAATAATTACACACATGACCGACAATGCACCTTTCGAATTAAAACCTTCTTACAAGGAAAACATATATTCCGTGGTCACGAAGGGAGTGTTAGATCGAGAAACTGTATCAGAATACGAAGTAATAATAACAGCTACAGACTGTGGTGAGCCTCCTTTATCCAGTTTTAAAACTCTTAGCATTCAGATAGCAGATGTAAATGACAACAGTCCACAATT